GGGGGGGGGGGGGGGGGGGGGGGGGGGGGGGGGGGGGGTACTCATAGTTATGCATGCCGTGTCGTTAGACCGTTCGTTGACCTCGCATCCCTACAAAGCCGAGACGGAGCACGCCGGGTTCTCACCGGACCAGGCTCTCACNCCTGTCTCTTATACACATCTAGATGTGTATAAGAGACAGCCATTATGGTTACCGCCAAAAAAAAATAGAGGAAAAAAAAAAAAACGGTAACCTGGTTGCCGAGTTCACGAAGTGAATTGGCTTGTTTTAACACGTCGTTGCCAAGCGACGAAAGCCCAATCCCGATGGCAAACACCGAGGGGGAGGCTTGTTTTACAACGTCGTTGCCAAGCGACGAAAACCCGACCCCGACGATGGCAAGCACCGAGGGGGCGGCTTGTTTTACAACGTCGTTGCCAAGCGACGAAAACCCAACCCCGATGGTAAATACCGGGGGGGGGGGTGGACGCTGAGCGGGGATCGCGTTTTTTTTGCGGCGCCCCCTTCGGCCCCCTGCCGGCCCTGGCGCTCTCTGGCGCCCGGCTCTGGCACAGCACACACACCAGGCAGGCTGCGAACCATGATATATATGCTGCCTGCTGTATGTATGGTTTTGATGGTGCTCTCCGCCAGCCCTCGTGAGAGCAGAGAAAGTAAGGAATTGCCGATTGAAGAAATTCAGCAGCATTTGGCGGCACGAAATAAGAAACTTGACATGAAAAATTGAACGACATAGATAGATAGATAGATAGATCGCATTCGAGCCTGGAGGACCTGAATTAAGCGTTTCTTAATAATAATTAATTGTGGGCGCTAACTGCTGTATGTAGTAGTAGTAGTAGTTCGTTCGCGTGTACAGTACACAGACGGAAGAGAGTGCTGAACTCTTCTCGCATTAAAAATCGAAAGCAAAGTACCGCAGGAGGAGGGGAGGGTAGAGAGGAAGACTCTTCTGTGTTGTTTTTGTTGTTGTTGTTGTTGTTGCTCTTCTTCTTCTGTGTGACCACGGGTTGAAGTAAACGGCACTATTATACTAGCAAGTGCTGTGGGCGCTGATTTGAAAAGGCAAAAAAAAAAAACATCTAGACTACTCAAAGAAGAAGGTGACAACTTATATTGAAGTGCGTTCGGAAAGATCTCGACGGAATGGTTCCAACGCCGCCATTTTTGGCGCTGCCACTCTTTCGGATGCGGAGTAGTCAAGCTTTGAAAAACGGTCCAGGAAGTGTGGAGTAATGTTTTTTTTGTTTGTTTTTCTCCCATCATTGGACTCTGTCGTCTGCCTCTCTGGCCCCTATCCTCCACTTCCACTAGCTAGACGACCCAACCGGGGTCACATAGGAGGGGGGGTCTGGACCCCCTCCTGCGGTTCCTGCCTGAGGTATTTTTATCGCGAGAAGGGTACAGCAATCCCTTCCCTCGCGACTTGCGAAGTCGATTATGGTTTACTAACAAACGAGCTTTGCAGCGGGTCGCTTTCATCCTAGACCAGGATTTATTTAGTGAGAAAAAAACTCTCTCTCTGCCGGGACTCGAACCCATGACCTGGCCCTTAGCAGGCTGCGAGGCTACCCACTAGACCACCGGGTTGTGTCACCCACGGTGTATGCCAAAACGAGAGCAGACCCCCACCCCTTGCCTCACCAAGCCACAGTTTTTTTTTCTGATAGGGGGGGTAGTACTCCAGCTGCAGAACCCCTTCCTCAGGAGGGCCGGCTGTCAGCGCCAAAAGCAGGGTTGGTACGGCAGCGCCACACGGTAGTTGGCTACACCGACAACCGAGACAAGCACACACAATAGAGAGAGAGAAACAGAGGGATAGGAAGAGGCACATAGCGATAGGCGGTACAGGAGGCCAAACATGGTATCAAGTCTTTGGATCTACATCTAAAAACCAAACCAACCCGGAAAATACCAGCGCTGCTGCTGCTGCTGCTGCTGCTGCTGCTGCTGCTGCACTTTGGAGGAGGGATTGCACACAGCAGTTGGTTGGTGCGGTACCAAACTGGCAGCACCTCAACCAGTAGCGTAGCGTGTTACCCTTGTTTTTCCTCCAGGGCGAGCCGCTGCTATCGAGTACCTGGATTCGCTGCAGCTACTCAGAGCCCAGGCGTTACCCTTCGTGTGCTGTTGTTATACACAACACGAAAAACGAGACACAGCAACAACAACGGCTTCGAGGGAGACCAGTGAGAGGGTTGGGGAGTGCTGAGGTGCCTCTGCTACTACCCATGGGAAATCAGGTGAGCAGGGCTATCCTGCAGTGGGTTGGTTCCCCAACCCGTACAGCAGTCGCGATCCAGAAGCTACCGTAGCTGCAATCAAGCTCATTCTGCCTTTGTTTTGGCTGTGAGTATTGTAGGCAGCGGGAGATGGGATATCCTACACCTACAGCGGTGATGGGACGCGATGCTGTGGTCTGGACACTATGGTAGGTCGTGGGAGGCAGCAAGAAGGACGAACACAAGAGTCTTCTACTCCTTTTCTCACGGATGGCTGCTGTCGAAATAGGATTTTGACATACAAAACCGAGTGTTACACGTATGCAGCTGCGTGCACGGCTACTGCTGCTTATTGTAGCACGCGTCCAAAGAAATATTTCGTGCGTTCATGCGCGATTGTTGTCTCTCACGCCACTCTTCCCTGGTATTATTTGCCGGGTGCCGTTGCCGCAGCAGTTTTTGTTCCTGCTGGATGATGCATGATGATGCACAGCTCGGACCCGGGGCTCGCTCCAACCTCCAACCCCCTCGCTCCAGCCCCGTGCAGCAGTTTACTTTATACGGTTTTGTCTCAGCAATGTGGTGAATGTTCGATGGAAAATGGGAAAGTAGTCTATGCGTTAGAACGGCGGTTTCCTCCTGCAGTAACGTCCTTTCGAAAGATAAAACCTGCATACCGGGTCTCCAGGAAAACGAGCTTACCACGCGGAAAAAACCTCTTGTTTCGGTTCACGCAACCCTGCTCCTTGCGTGATCGGCAGGGAAACCAGCCGGCTTTTTTGTGGGTAGGGTTCAAGTTGTTACGTCTCGAGAAATCGGATCCTCAATTTCTCAACTCACGTTCAATTTCTCAACTCACGCCTCAATTTCTCACCTCACGTATTTACCAGTGTACATACACGTATCCATGTATCCGTAAAGGGTGGCGCGTTCGCGCGCATCATCCGTCCTACCTTCGATCCGTTTTCGCGACCAACCGCCTACTTCCCCTTTTGTTTTCATGGACATGTGGGATCCCCTCGGGTATTCTGGCGACGTCCTGTTGGCGTTCGTTCTCACTTTTGTGCAGCAACCACCAGCAGTGGGATTGTAGCGGCATGCTCCTTGAAATGTACCACCTGCTACGCGGGGTCGGACGCCAAGCATTTTTTTACCCTGGATGACGCCCGCAGAGCCAAACCACACGAGTAGAATAACAGCAGCAAACCCTTCAAGGCTTGTTTGTTCCCTACCCGTCTTTCTTTGTGCTGGGTTTTCGCCTGCGGCTCCTCTGGGAAACAAGAGAGACGGGGAAACAGAACTAAAAATTGCGCACGAAGGGTGTGTGTGGACCAATGCTCCTCATTACGTCAGAGTGAGGCTATGTCACTCTTGCCTGTGTACCATGATGCGGTACATGTAGCCATCAATACTGCTTGGTTTGTACGTAATGCTCGGCTTGTGGTTACAACAGATGATATTTAGTGTGCTGTCCGAAAGGGAGAGCGTATGATAGATAACATTTTTTCCGTTGTTGGAAGCCAGCCCCCCCTCCCCCCCCACACACACACCTTCTTTTAGTCACGGCAAAAGTTGTTCCATTCATGGAAGAGAACATCCCCCCCCCATGGTCCCCCCCCCCCC